AAAAATTCTTTTATATACATTAAATAAATTTAATTACCTTTTACTTTAATGCATTCCAAATTAACATTCTTGCTTATAATGGAAAGCCGTTATATTTGAATATAAATGCATTACTTACCTCCTTGTCGAGTTGTCTGTGCCAATTCTCTACTTTGTATCCTTCGACGATTATAAGTTACCTACAAGTGATTTATCTAATTCTATAAATACTTCATTTTATTACTCAATTAAATTGTATAAAATCAATCAATACATATATTACTATTTACCTCGTAACCTCTTTTCTGCATATAATTAATGATAAATTCTTTCAACCTCTTCTTCCTCTATTTCTCAAGTATTCTCATTTATTTGGACTCCTTTACCAAAATCCCTGTTTGCAAATTCTATTGTAAAAATTTAGTTGATCCATTCCATATACTCAAAAGTACTTTTGTTAATCTTATTAAAAGTAATTAGCACTACCGTTATCAGGTCCCAAGTCCTGGATGAGAAAAGTGGAGGGTTGCATTAGGTAGTCAACAGCCAGCGTAAAACTTGTCGAATAATAATGACATGAATCCTTTAAGAAATTGTGTTAATGCTAGGGCGTTCCTTGGAAGCGACGTGCTGTATGGCTTGAATACAGTGACAAGTGTGCAAGGGCCGCTGCACCGGTGCCCGGGTACAGTGTTAAATAGGCAAGGGTTCCCACATCAAGGACGGATGTGGGCAAAGAAGCTAGTCCATTAAATTAAAATTAGGATAAGAACTTGGAATATATGTTCTCTTATAGGAAAATTAATGGAATTAATAAATATTATGATTCATAGGAAGATAAATATTTTGTGCATTCAAGAAACTAAATAAGTTGGAGAGAAGGCTAAAGAAATTGATAGTTTAAGATTTAAACTTTGGTATTCGGGTAGGAGTCGTACTAGAAATGGTGTAGGTATTATTATAGATAAGAGTTTGAAGGATAATGTTATAAAAATTAATAGGTTTGGAGATAGAATTATAGCTTTAACTATTATTGTTGAGGATAAGATTGTTAATATTATAAGTGCATAAGCTCCTCAAGTAGGTTTGAATAAGAGTTCTAAATTAAATTTTTGGAATAACTTA